CGGGGGGGTTTGTTTCGACTTTTTTGACGGTTTTGAAGTTATTTTGGTTGCTGCGGTTGTCTAGCCCGATGATCGTCGGGTAGAGTTTTTTTTATAATAATTTTTAATTAATGATTACTAAACGTTAAGATGATAATCATAGTGTTTAAAAAAGGTCACTGTCCAGTTACTTTTCACCAATCCGATATAATAAACTTTTCTTAGTATAAATACGGATTTATTGTATCTGGGTTTAAACATTAAATGTCATATTACAGGACATAATAGATCCGGGTTCAAATATTAATCAACATACCTGAATTTTTAGTATATTCTTCATTCCTTATTATGACCACGCCTAAAATAAGACGCATAAAAGTGACCATATTTTCTTGATATTTCGCAAAGTTTACTTATTTTATCATTAGTTGTATCATCATTCACAATCTTTTCAACATCTTCAATAAAATTTTTAGCTGCAATAATATTTTTTTCTAAAATAGGTAAATTTATTACTCCTCTTATTACTAGTTCAGATGAATGTTTGGTATGCACCATGCGTTGTTTAAGTGATTGAAATTTTCATGTGATAATCCAATAGAGGTAGAACCCCATTCTGAAAAAGCTGCTGAAAGTTTTGCATCAAATATAAAAGATCGTTTACATTCTGTGGTTGTTTCGTGTTTACATTCACATTCTTCTTTACGTTTCTTGGTTATTTTCTTTATTTTAACCTTTTTGTAATTAATTTCGAATGCCTGATCGGATGCACTTGTTACAGAACCATTCTTATTAATCCTGAATCCTTTTTCAGAACATAATTGGGTCAAATCAAATTCATCATCATTTTGAGTAATAAATAAATTATGACCATTATCTTTTTTTTCAGTGATATCTAAAAGATCTAATATAGTTTCACATCCTAGTCTAATCTCTGATTTGTTTTTTGAAAAGTATAGAAAACGGCAATTTGATCCCATATTAAATTCATTTTCTAAGATTGTGCGAACTTCATTAAGTTTAATATTTTGAGATAACTTCATATAATAATTTGGTTTAAAATTAACTGTAACATCAATTATATCGTTTTTGTCATTTTCGCTACCTATATTTTCGTCGTTTTTATCCATTTTTAGTTACGTTTTTAGTTGTTGTCGAGTTCATTTGTGTACCTATAATTATTGCAAAAGTAATTTGCGTAAATATGCTGGTAAAGTTTATCAGCTATATAATCGTACGTACGTACGTATGTACGACTTATGTGTATGCAAACCCAAAAAAAGGGGCACATAGTAAAGTAGTACAATACAATATTGTAAAGAAAATTTGATTGCACGCACGTACGTATGTACTTTTTAAGCAAAAATTTTCTATAACTACTCTACCTAACACGAAAAAGAAAAATATGAGCGCACACCTTAACCATAAAATAATACTAAGCATCAAAAAAGTTCATTTATAAAAGTTGACTTTAAGAATATTGATAGTACATAATACTGCTTATGTTGTCAACTCACGTAAATTTAAATAAACTTAAACTGTTAAAGCGATAAGTCTGTTTTCTTAATGTTCATCAAGATCACAAATACAGTGAACATCACTATCATTTCCAAATCATTTTATTTATTCGTTAATAACATTAATTCATCTTAATAGACCCTTATTTTGTAAGGATGATTCATCTTAATAAACCCTTATTTTGTGAGGATGATTCATCATAATTGTAAATATTGATATCACTTTTAAATATGCAATTAGAATTCAGCATTCAAAATATTTCACTAGTCAATTCGTTGAATAGAGGCATCATTTATCCATTTCGATGTGATTAACATTTAATTAAATCCATAATCTCAGGGTGCCTAAATTAATAGGCCGGACTCAATTTTTAATTAGTGAAAAATAGGTTAGCCGATCAAGTGAGTTACATTATCGTAAACTATCTTTTTTATCATTGAGTTTTGCTAATTGACTAAAATTTAATACAGCCAGACCCCCTAAAAGCAGCCCCTCTAAGGAAAACATTTAAAATCCTTAATTGGTAAAATAGTTAATACCGGATATTAGAACAAGTACTGGTAGATTTTGTCTAGAGATCTCATTACGCATTATGCGTCTTTGAATTTGTACTCTTACTAACTTCAAAAAAATTTGAAAATGGTTTGCATGTAGTACGTATGTACATACGTACGTACTACGTAAGTACGTACCAATACGTAAAGAAGTTTTAGTTAACCTGAATCAACCATGCAGAGCAGGTGTCTAAACCAGTTTAGAAATGCAATTTTATAAAGTGCCTTAACGTTGGACGTCCTAAAAGGAAATAATTTAAAGATTTCTTTAACCTCAAGGAAGGTCATAAAAACATATTTCCTTTCTTGGACCGCATGCAAATATTTCTGTTGTGTTACGTTTGTTTTGCATATCACTGCTTTACGTCACATAATAAATTACGATGTTTGATGTGTACCAAATTGTACGTAGAAAGCATGATATCCCCAAACTTTAATCGCGGATTAATTATCAATGCACAGGGAATAAAACTTTCGGATTTTATATCTTATGATCTTAAGTCGCAACATAAATATGATTCCATAGAAAAAAACACATCCTTTCATGCAAAACTAGTTAATTCAACAAAAAATAATATTGGGCTTTCTGCTGATGATTTAGATCATGTTAATCGGATACTTAATACTGATGAGCCCATAAATTCTTCAATGGCCCTCTAGACGACGAGGCTTCTACAACTGATATTTTTCTAATGGTACAATGCATAAAAGTCGAATTGGTTATTAAGAAAGAAGCAATAAAACCGTCTGATGAATTAATTAATAAAATAAAAGAGGCTCTAAAACACCACCATAAATTAATGGATGTATTTAACGATTATGGATATTTTTTGCCAAAAAGGATAACTCTTGGGCGCAAAATATACGGAATGACTTATTTAAGCATAGATAAGGATTTAACAGTACATGGTGATGTGGAATGGACAGCTCTTGATGATTTTTCGGAAAGTAAGCTCGAAGATTACTTGAGGTCTTATAATTTTGATTTATCTTACTTTGAAACAACTAATGGCGAATTGATTATGAAAAATAAAATAAAAGAGTGGATTAAAGATTGTTTAGAGTGCAATATTGACTCATTACAAGTTAATGGCTGCAAAGAATTATATCCATTGCATGAAATTTTTGACTTATCTCTTCGCCAAGAAGTCGAGTATATTCTTGGGATTAATATGACAAATGAATCTACTATTAGTAACTAATATAGAAATAATATAAAAGAGAGAGTTCTTATGACAGGAACAGTATCAATTGGGAATCCTCCCTATTCATATAGTGTAAATTTTCCTGTTTGCTTTAAATCCAATAATTATCAAGTTTTTGGAAAATTTATTGCACGAGATGGTGAACCAATTGAGAAATTATTAAAGCCTAGACAAGCTTTGGACAATTTTAGATATAGAAAAGTCAAAAAAGGTTATGAATAGCCAATATGTATAACACTACCATATGTGTCTGGTTAGTCTTAATTAGTAACTTACACATAGTATTACCCAACACTTGTGTTGGGACACATCTATTTTTTATAACCCCTACTATTACTAATCATCTTTGTTTGGTTTGCCAGACTTCAGTACCGCCTTTATGTAGTTTTCATACTCTATGTTCTTGGTTTTCTTAGTCTACCAATCCAGTTAGCCTAGTAGAGTTAGTTTTGCTAAGACTTTATATGCCTGTTAGCACTCTTTTCTTGGTATACACTTCTAGAGCATATGTTTTTTTCCTTCAGTGTGACTCTGGTGAGCCAAATTAGTGAAACCCTGAACCTATAAAGGTCTTTTTCAACTATTTTTACCAATTTTTGGGCAATTCAATTCCATTTTGGGGTGTTATCAGAAATCTAGTTACTTCCAACTTGAGTCTTGCCAAGACAGTTTCAGTTCTTTAAATTCTTTTTGTCAATTTTCTTTGGTTCTGAAGACTTATTATGGGTTTGCACTGCCAATACTGGCTTGTATTTTTTGTAAAACACAAATACCTAGAACCTTCCAATGCTATATTGGTGTGACTAGAGTTACAGGTATATAACTCAACCTATTAATGAAAATCTATTACCATAATACAAAAGATTTTGTCTAAAGCATTACCAGTAGGATTTGAACTCTATACTTTTGAATTAAACTTGCTTGGGGGTATAATAACTTGTCTACTTTGCTATATCACTACATACTTTAAAAATTCTAGTTTTTCTATATATAATTTTTTTTTCTTAGATATCTTATTTTTGGTTTTTAAGTAATGTTGTTTGGCATAAAATTTAATATATATATATTTATCAAAACACATTTTCACAAACCTTTTACTAAGTCAAAAATGAGATTAAAATTAGAAAAATTTTTTTTAAAATTTTTTTAAAAACTAGATTTTTGAATTACTTAAAGAGAATTAGAGGTGAGTGTACTATATCTAATATTGTATTATGCAGTAAAAAACTTTATATTGTAATTAGGCTTTATAGCTATAATAGCAGTACAATGATTTTATGTAAATAGTTACTATTTAAACCTAATTGCTTTGGAACTTTGAGACTGTCTAGAGTTTTATCTACTATTTGGAACTAGTTAAAGCTATAAAACTTGCTCCCAAACTTATTATACTGTATAAATTGGGATTTGGAACAAATTTTAGATATATTTAATTTGAACTAATAGTTATAATTATATGAATAGCAACTATATTACAAAATATTTTAAGTAGATTTTTATTAATATATAATACATGATTATTTTTTATTGATTAAAATTAATTGTTATACATCGATTAACTTGTTATAAATCAATATATATCAAAAATTGATTATTAATAATAATAGAAATAAAATCAATATAGATCAAATTATCAATTATTATCAAACCAACCAAAATCACAATATCTCGATTATTATATTATTAATCGATTATTAGTATTACTTATACTTTAATTAGATATTTGTAGAACATTAACTAAATATATGCTCTAAATATTAGATATACACATTAAATATTAAATATATACTTTAAATATTAGATATACACATTAAATATTAGATATATACTTTAAATATTAGATATACACATTAAATATTAGAATATAAAACTGTTTACTAAATATTTAATTATTTTTTAAATCATGCAATTATATAAACAGTTCTATACATACTATTTATAGGTATACCCGGAAGAGCCAGACAAAAACAGCTCTCTAATATCTAATCTGAATGTTGCTAGCTTTTGCAGAACCATGCGAGTCAGGTATATAGTGAATGCTGTAGAAAACACTTCTCTTGTGGAATCATTTTCAATATTATTAGCCTCCTATGATCCACACACAATATCTCCAACAAATAATGTAACCCAACTTACATCAACAACCACCTCCGATGATGAAGATGAACAACTATTCATTTCTTCAATTCTAAACTGCCAATTAGAACCTGATCTACCTCGCCTCGAAACAATAACACAAATACCTAAAAATCTCAGAACTATTGATCCTACTACATGCTATAACAGATTCCTCTTCTATTACAAATTACCTCCGCTCGAACACCCACAAACAATCTTCACTTTTCTTAAAAATCTACAAGATGACTTCCTCTCTATTACTCATCCTCCTTTATTAGAATCTCTATCTTAAACAAGAAAGATACTAACAACTACTATGAAGAAGCATATATTTACTTTCCTAACAAACCATACCCACTCCCACACCACTTTACCCCACCTTTTCAAGATCTACTGCGCTGGTTTACCTATACTCCTCTAAAAACTTCCTCATCCTCACTCTATGATTTAACCCACTATCCTCTTAATCTTTCTATTTGTACTCACAACATTCGTGGTTTTAACCAAAAGTCAAAACAACAAGTTT